TTATGTCAAATGTAAGAACTATAGCTCACATTCAGCTCACCAGAGAGAATAATCCCACATGGAGATCTCAAATACTTAAACTAGTCAAGACAATTAGACTTGATGGTTTTCTGGAAGGAACCGAAATCTGTCCACCTCAACAAATTGAACACTCTGATGAACACTTTTTCACAAATCCAAACTTTTTGCAATGGCCATTGATTGATCAAAATCTGTCCGCTGCTATCTATTCTACAGTCTCCCCCTCTATACTTCCCAACATTCTGAACCTGGACTCCACAACAGCCATTTGGAGTACTCTAAACAAGCGACTTCAGGCAAACAGATCTCTGGTTCTACAATTATGCAATGCTCTACACAACACTTCCTTGAGAGATCTTACCATGTCACAACATCTGTTGGCCATCAAGTCCATCGTAAATAGCATTACCGTGGCAAGAAGATACATTGATACTGAGGATGTTATCTTGCACACTCTCGATGGCTTACTATCCAGCTATCAGTCCTTTAAAACAGCCATCAGAACTCGATCTGAACTTATTCACATTGATGAACTTTACTCCCTCTTATGCACCGGAGAGACCAATATTGATGCGGAACAAGCCAAGGAGGCTATAGCTGCTGTTATTGCCCTCTATTCATCCACCAACAGAGGAGGGCGCAACTCAGCAAGTTCAAACACATCATGCCAAATCTGTGGTAAGTTCGGTCACGCAGCCATGATGTGTTGGCATAGAACCAACTTTACTTCATATCCATCCCCAAAATCAGACACCGTCCTCATGACTACGACAAAGCCCGATGATTAAATATTAGACATTGGAGCAACATCTCATCTCACCACAAATCTGGAGCATCTACAGCAACCAATTTCGTATAAAGGACAAGACACAATTTCAATTGTTGACATATCCGCTCATCCCATCGCATGCACCGGTCAAGATTTGCTACCTACACCTCAAAGTAAGCTCCTACTAAATGTTCTCTACTCCCCACATCTTGCTCACTGCAGTATTTCAGTTCACAAACTGACTTCAGATAGTAATTGCATTATCATCTTTACTAAATCTGGTTTCATTATCAAGGATCAGAGGCACAAAACAATCCTTCAAGGACACACTAAAAACTGCCTCTACTCAATCAAAGCTCCATCAGCCGTTCATCAACCCTCCATCTCACCCATTCAACTATGGCATAGGCGCTTGGGACAACCTCACCCTGAAGCTACAACTCACATCTCCAAAATTCATATTGTTGTCGTCAATTCAAGCTCGCATCTTCTTTGTAATGAATGTATTTCAACAAAATATCATCAATTAGCTCTTCCTTCTTTATCTAGATCTAGGACACCATTTGCTCTTCTTCATTGTGATGTGTGGGTCCTGCTCCCACTAGTTCTCTGCAAGGCTTTAAATATTACTTATCATTAATTGATGACTATACTAGATATTATTGAATTTTTCCAATGTGTGCCAAATCTGAAACAACCACGATCATAATAATGTTCCATAAATTTGTCCCAACTCAATTCAACACCATTATCAAAACCATACGTTCTACTGGAGGTGGGGAATATACATCCCAAACACATAAACAATCTCCTCTCACAAGGCATTTGTCATCAATTCAGTTGTCCCTACACTTCCCAACGAAACGGGGTCGTCAAACTTAAACATCTTCACCTAATTGAGACCACTAGAACCCTCATATTAACAACCAAACTCTCCACACAATTTTGGGTTGATGCTATCATAAATAGCTACCTATCTCATAAATCACATGCCCTCCAAAACATTAAACTACAAATCACCCTATGAGCTGCCCTATCACTCTATTCCCTTCATTTCACCACCTCCGCACATTTGTATGTCTATGCTTTCCATGGCAACAATGTCTAATTTCAAATAAACTCCTATCGATAGCAACACCATGTATATTCATAGGCTCGTTCCCAACTACAAAGGTTATCAGTGTTTCAATCCTAAAAATAAAAAAATTATCACATCTCGCCATGTCAACTTTAATGAAACCTCATTCCGAAGCATTTCTTCTCCTCCACCTACAACTCACTCCTCTTTCAACATACCACTTGGCCTTCTAATCCCAACAAAAACACAAATTCTTTCCCACTCCATCTCTACAGCCCACCAACATTCCTTCCAACATTCCCTCCAAAACCGACACTCCCCCATCATCTTCCTCTACTGCAGCTTAAAACTCAATATCCCATTCCTCCCAGCCACCCCGCAGCACGATTGCAACACGATCGACACATTAACTACTCTACCACTCAAACCCACCAAACATCCAATGCGTACCCGAGCCCAAACAGGCTCCCTTAAACCAAGACAATTTTCGATCTTCACACCACTACTCTCTCCTCTACCGATCCTAGCTGCAATAAAGAGGCCATGAAACACCTCCACTGGCTGCAAGCCATGCCCGGTGAATTTCATGCACTACAAAGTTAAGGAACTTGGCAAATTTCTCCACCACCACGCTATCACAACATCATTGGCTGCAGGTGGACTAACCACACCAAATTTAATTTGGATGGTTTTATAGCTCAACATAAAGCACAACATTCAAATTCTTCTCACGGCTGCTCTACCTCACAAGTGGTCTGTTAAACAATTAGATATCTCGAATGCCTTTCTTCATGGATCACTGGATGAAACCATTTACATGCAACAACCACAAGGTTCTCAAGATGCTATATATCCTAATCATGTTTGTTTACTCAAAAAGGTCCTATATGGGCTTAAACAAGCTCCACGTTAGCGGTATTCAACTTTCTCTAATCACCTTAAGTTCTAATGTTCCAAATGAGCAAAGCGGATCCATCTCTTCTTATATATAAGCATAATGGTGTCTACATGTTTCTCCTAGTGTACGAGGTTGACATACTAACCGGAAATGATTCTGTCGCTATTTCCAATGTCCTTAATTATCTCAAATCAGCTTTCATGTTAAAAAATCTTGGTCATGTCAACAATTTTCTTGGAGTCCACATACGGCAAAATGCTCATGGGCATTTCCTTACTCAAAAACACTATATCAACTCTCTATTACAGCAACTAGGCATGGAAAATTGCAAACCTCTCCACACTTCACTACCTACAAAATTAAAACCGGATGTTGATTCTCAACATGAATACTCCCAAAGTACACAATATCGTCAACTTGCGTGCTTACTAAAATTCTTAATTGTTAAAAGGCCAGACACAGCCTTTGTTATCAACTTCATTTGTCAACAGATGCACAGACCTCTTCTCTTCCACTTTCATATAATCAAAAGGCTACTTCATTATCTAAAAGCCACAATTCATTATGGCCTTCAACTTACCAAAGGTGATCTTCAACTCAAGTGCTTCTCCGAATATTGTTGATCGCAAATCCACCACAGGTTTTTGTACCTTTTTGGGCAACACTCTCATCTCGTGGACAGTTCACAAATAGAAGACCGTTGCTCGATCCTCCACAGAAGTGGAATACCGGCCACCTGCTGCAGCCACCACAGATATTATATGGCTTAGACAGCTTCTTCGGGATTTCAACAACACACTAGATGCTCCTACACCAATCTACTGTGACAACACCTCAGCCATTGCTATTGGATTAAATCTTATTTTTCATGCTCGCACAAAACACGTGGAAATTAATCATCACTTCGATCATCTAGTTTCAAAAGAAATTCAGATTTCAACACATTGCTTCCCAAGATCAGATAGCAAATATACTTACGAAAAGTTTATCTCAATTGTAGTTCAACAAACTTCGAAACAAGCTCACAATCAAAGAACATGATTGTTAACTTGAGGAGAGGTAACAATCGTATCATTTCAATATCATTTGTCACCTGGCGATATTCTCCACTTTCCCATATGAGTCCTTTTGTATCCAACAGGGGACCACTTCCTCTCTAGACTCTTCTCATCTTTCTTACTGGTCTGGTTAAGTAAAATGAATATCAAGAAGCACAGCTAGTTACCTCTTCCCCCTCTTCATGCTTTCTTGTATACATTTCCTTTAAGCTTTTCTGCAGTTCTTCACTAACATCATCCTTGGTGTCCCATCGTTACAACAACTAAGTGAGGTTATTGCTAATTATAATTGTTTAATGACGAACTATTACATAGTAGAGAGAAATTTTACATTACAAAGACACCAAAACATGAACAGCAAGACCAGTATACATTACAACCAACTAATGTGGTTATATACCCAAGTCTCCATTGCTTTTTGCTATTAGCTAAATAAAAGCTTAACAAATATTAAAGATGATACTCTAATGGACATTTCGACAAGTTTTTCTGGCCAACTAGTGCCATTCCTGCACAAATACTCCAAACCTCTTTAATCAATCAAAATACTTCCACCAGCATGAGCAAAGGATCGCCGCTTCTATTTATATCGCAAAAACAACTAGTTAATGCTAAACCCATATTGGTACTCACACTTTCAAAATACTACCATTGAAAAGGTAGTACAAGAAATGATGTAAACAGCTTGACTGGACCAAGCATAAGCTCATATTCATCTCTAGTGCTACTAATCAAAAAAAAGATGGGGCATGTAGATCTTGAGTGAATTCTTGTGATTTAAATCGTGTCAACATTTCAAGCAATTTTCTAAGCCTAATAATTGATGAAATGCTAGACGAGCTGCAAGGGGACACTAGCTACTCCAATCAAGACTCGTGGACAGGGCAGCGGAAGGCATCTATAAAATGGCTTTTCAAACATACAAAGGGCATTATGAATTTGCAGTAATATTGTTCGGCCTCGCCAGTGCCCCCTCTAAATTTTAAAACATATTATTAATGAGATCATCATCTATAAAAATACATTACAAATCAACAATAAATACATAGCACTAGCCTTCAATTGCTTGCACAATAATCAATTCCTCCTCAAAATGTTTATAAAGCCAAACTAAGGTAAACTACTTACCACACAATGTCCGCTAACTCGTCTCAAATCAAGATAAGATTCATGAAATACTAGATTGGACTCTACCAACCGATCTAAAAGCTGCAAGGGGTTATCCAACCCAGCTGAATATACAAAAAATTGTCTGTAACGCCCCAATATCATGGCACCATTAACCTTGTGTTACAAAAAAATTGCCTGTAATCCTATGTATTAAGAACCTTTCAAATTGCTGAAAAACATAGGAATTATCACATATATGCTGGACCTGCAAAGTATTAGCACATATAAAACTGCCCTAATAAGATTGAGAGGGTTGCAATTATCTGTTCAGGATGCTGCCACTTGGTGCATCATGGTAGGAAGTGTTATTTTGTAAAAAGGAGATAGGATCTATTTGCTACAATTCCACTTTAAGATGATATGAAAATACGCTTTTGGATGATATGAAAATACAGCAAGCTTCTTCTCTTTTTATCATCAATGGTTTCCATTCCCCTTCAATATGCTTCATTTCTTACCCAATTTCAACGAGATTGCTGTTTATCATCTATCATTATCTATCATAAAAAACAAACAAATAAGCTCAAATTTTTAATTGAAAGAGAGAAGTTAGAAGCTAATAAGTCTTACACTTGCCTTCATTCTATGTCGTTGGTCGCCATAACCCTTGCGAACTTGGTTGCCGATCTTTCTAAAGAAGATGCTGGCCCTCTGCTTCTCTTTGTACAATTGCACGCTCGCTTCTTCTCTCAAAGCTCCCCCTCCAACATCCGGAAACAAGTCAATGCTTGCCAACCTAGCCTGCCATAAAAAAAAAAAAAAAAAAAAAAAAAATATTTATTGATCATAAATATAAGCATAATTTATTGATTTGGAGTTTTGTTATCTGTTAAGAATTCGGATTATCCAAAACTCTCAAAAGAAGGATTTTGATAGGATTCAAAATTGTAAAGAGTATGAAAAAAATATAATTATTTAACTAAAAAACGCCTGCATAAAAAAATAATTAAAAAAAAAAAAACTACAAAGGCGAGGTTTTTAAGTAAATAAGTAATTTGGCACGTACAATAACTTCGGCGGCGGACTCCACCGGCAATGCCTCGCCGGAGAACGGCGAGCCGCCGGACCACTCTTTTAGAACTTCATCATAGTCAAGTTTCAGCCACAGCCGCGGCTCCATCCCATCTTCCTTCTCCTTTTTCTTCTTCGCCTTCGTCTTCGTCTTCACCGGTGCGGCTTTTGGCTTAGGAACAATATCCTTCACATCCACAACATCCGCACACCACCATTCTCCTTTCTCCTTCTGCTTCAACGCCCGCCTAATGTTTGGCGAAATGCCAAAACCAAACCCCATCAAGCAATCCAAATTGGCGTCTTTGAAGTAGTTTGAGCTCATTGAGAGGTTGCCCATACCCATTATACTGTCAATGCTTTCCTCTATCTCATTGGCTAGAATGGATTCAGCGTGGAACTCAGGTGAGCCAGGGTCCTGAAACTGATGAGAGTATGGAAGGCTGCAAACCGAAGAATCTGACAACTTTGCCTCCAATCTGATGGGAAGCATCCCAACTGAGGGCGACTCGCGAAGCAGGATGGTGGCATCATCGGGAATGGGGAAGGAGTGGAGACGAGCAGGAAAGTAATTTGTTCGCCGAATAATGGTAGGTGAGAAGAGTTTGGGAGATATGGTAGAGAGGAGGGCGGCAGCTTCAGCTGAGCTCTGGTTAGGGCGCTTACGAGGAGATCGAGCTCTTTTAGTAGAGATAAAGAAGGGGGTAGAGTTGCTTGACTCGGGTAAACTGGAGGAAAGAGATGAAAGCGATGAAGATTTGGTGACGATTTCCAGATCAAGCCTGTAAGTCCGGCCGCCGCCCTTTATCAGGCAAGGCGACGACATTGGGAAAGTTCGAGGAGGAGGAGACCACTTGGTGATCTTGTGCTAGAAATAGAAGAAGAAGAAAAACAGAAAATTTATCATAGATTTCGGATAGAACAGAAGAACCCTGTGACTCAAACTGAAAGAAAAAAAAAGGTTTTTACAGTTTTAAACGTTCACCGAAGAGTCAGCCAAGCCTTCCAAGCTGTTAAAAAAATCTCCAAATCGGAGAAAGAAAATGGCAAAGGGAGAAAGAGGAGGAGAAAAGTAGCCGAAAGAATGGGTGCTCGGTGTTACTAGATGCAGGTGAATCTAAAGGGGCTTTGCTTCTGAGCAAGCGAAGTGGTATGGAATCAAGGGAAGTGTTTTGATGAATCTGACAAGAGCTTAAAAGTTGGTTAAACGTCAGTATATAGAGTAACTGTTGAAGAAGAAAAAGCTATGGCGGCCTTCATTGTGGGGAAATTTGTGGAGGGGGGAGAGTAGGATTGTAAAGGTATTACGGTAATGGGAAAAGGAATGGTTTTTTTGGAGAAGCAAGAATGGGACTGTGAAGGTGTTACCGAAATGTCAGAAGGAAGGGTTTTTGAACGAGTAGGGCGAGCACTTGTGGAGGATATCTTTTTAATTAGGATATCTTATATATATATATATAGAACCTGAAAGTACTTTATTAAAAAAAATAATAGAGTTAAATAATATAAATATAAGTAAAAAAAAAAAAAAAAACGAAGCAAAGTTACACAACTAATAGAAAAAACAAGACATCAAAAAAAAAACAACTAAATAATCTATCGACTAAGTAAGTTTTCAACTGTCCTGTATAATTATACTAAAAGATAGAATAACTTAATAAAATCCCCATATAAAGAGAATCACATTGCAAATCATTGTCGGTCAACTTTTTGATGATTTGAAATATAAAAAATAATTTTGAAATTTAATTTAATATAAGAGGTATATAGTTTGGGTTTTGAAAGTGGTATGTTTTAATTTTTGAAAAATGAGACCAAATAGATCTCATTCGTCCAATAGTTTGTATAATTTTGTTCGATATCGCGAATACTACACCTTCCTGAAAGACAAGTGTAAACTTCGACGATAGACCCAATCCAGCAAACTAAGAGATTTGTGACATTGGTCTGCGAACCTTTTATGTGTGGCCGACAAGTTCTCCTATTCAATACAAATATTAAATAGGGTTTATTTTACATGGGTTCCAAGTTCCCTATAGAGGCAAACCCCTATAGTTAATTGCATCCTAAATGATTGGGGTCGCTTGAGAAAATTCTTGATAATGATGAGAGGTACTAGTCTTCAAGATTTCAAAGTTTAGGTTTTCACGGTAGGACGTAGAAAAGATAGTGGGAGTGACTCAAATAGGAACCGTTATTTTCAGGAGTCCAAATGAAGAAAAAGGCAGGGGATGTCACAGATTCTGAGGAGAAAACCTCAGTGACTTCCCAAACTATCCTAATGTGTGGTTGAGTTTTAGAGACGATATTATTTAGGTGTTTAATAATGCCAATTTTATTATTTGGGACTTACACTTGCATAATAACTGATTATTCAAATAGCCCGCAAAGAGATGAGGGTTTACATCGTAACGAACGACATCCTCATAAACTAAAGTGAATTAGGACTTACGCTGCACAACATAGTTGTGCAGGAGCCTAAAAAAGGGATGAGGATTTACGTCGCGCTAGACGAGCTACCTTGAAGTCCTATGGGTTGTTAATTAGACAAAGAAGAGAGTTTAGCTGGTGTAGCATTATTTTGTTGTTATAGAATGAAGACCACCTCCATTTGTAGTCCATTCCAAGCTCCATACCGCGTTGCCCATGAAGTTGCTCCAAGCTCCTTACCGCGCTGCCCATGAAGTTGCTCCAAGCTCCTATTGTAACGATGGCTCCAGGGTTTAAGTGTTTGAGATTGGTGATTTATGTTTCCCAATTTTTTTTGTCAAAGTTTGGTTTTGTTTTGTTTCGGTTCTGATTTTAGATCTGGTTTTGAAAGCAAAATAATCAAATTGCAGGTAAATAAAATGTATTTGAAAGGTAAAATCCAGTAAAGTAAAATGTTGTAGATAAACTGTAAAGGCGTACCTGGGCATCTACTACAGTTGTGTTATTAGTATTGCGAGCATAACGTGATTTGCACAGATTTAAATAAGATTGCAAAAAAAAAATGAACAAGACGAGAAAACCCAACACGAAAGTCAGAAACACGAGTCGTAGAAATCACAAGCAAAAGAAACTCATAGCCACATACGAAAGACCAGGACTGGGTGTAAGACATTGGTAAAAGTGGGGGGCTCAAATCTGGACTGTGTGCTTCCCGATCTTGAACAAGAGCTACCAGCCCGACAATCTACGGAAGACAGTGCTTAACCTCAATCTGAATGATTAGCCGTGGACCTTTATAAATTTTCACAGAAAAACTCTTTGATTTTCATGCAAAAGCTGTTTTTTGAGTCTTTTTTATGCAGAAATCTTTTTAACATGCAAAAGAAATTTTTATTTTTACTTTTGTAAATATTTTGTAAAGTCGTGTAGTCCACAGACTAGTCACTATAATAATGCTAGAACTACTGACAACCTAAGAGCGTCGTCGGGGGCAACGATCCCACCAAGAATCGACGAATAGTATCATTGATCCTCCATCAGTACATTTCTTAGTAAATTTACACTTAAATTTTTTCTTATTCTTGTGTATGAATGAGAAAATTTGAGAAATAAGCATTTAAAAAAAAGAAGATTTACTTATATACCACATAATTATAATGTATTTACATATATAAGACCTAAACATCAATTTTTACATACATACCATCTTATATATCCATGGAATGGTATATTTCACTTTTTAAAAATTAAAATAGTGGTAGCTCTCATGTTGTATGAAAGAATTCATTGGTATAAATATTTTAGATGTGTAAATACAATAGAATTGGGTGATATGATAAGGATTATCATTTTGTGTAATGAATCATCTGAATCAATTAATCATTTTTTTTTAAGTGTTTCATTTCCTTGTGGATCATAATGAAGAAGAGAAAAAGGTTTGTCCCCCTCAAATAAGACTCAGGTTCTGCCCCGTGGGGATTATAATAAAATAAAAGGGTATTCATATTGCTAACGTGAAAAGAAAGATATCTCTAAAAATTAACAATTTTAGTGAAATATCCAAAATTTAGAAGCATTAGAATGAGTATGACCCAAAAAAGAGAATAATGATTAATACATCACTTAGCTAAATAACAAAATAATGCATCCAAATAATTTTATAATTACACATAGAGTTAATATTATCAATAGAATGCTACCAAGACCTCCATGCAACTTAGGCAAAGTATAGTACTCTAAACAATAGTAATCACTTACTTTTCGATATTATTGTGGAACAAAAAATTCCAAAACATGGAAGAAATTTTCTTCCAAATACTCTTAGGCATAGTAGTAGACAAAACCAATAGTATAAATAACTCTAGATAGTAGTTTTAATAAGTTGAAATATCTCAATTTTGGATAAAACATTTTACTTCTAACCAGTCAACATCTATAAATCTTATCAAGAAGAATATGACAATTATCAACCATTGATTTGGAAGGGTTAATAACAACCTCAGATAATTCAAGAGTAAAGGCTTGACATTATAATCACAAGTATCATTTAAAATTTGTTGAATAGTAAGATTATCATAATTATAAAAACAAATAGCAGACTTGGAGATATTTTAGTAAGATTAGAAGCACAACTAATAACATCAAGAGAACTAGCCATATGATAAATGGAATTAATAGCCGTCTTACTAAAATTTAATACATAATCGACATATGTAAGATGAGAAATGTTATCCACAACTTGTTTCATACTATTATAACAATGAGGACTAAGAATTGAAAAAAGAGCATCCATTATAATAATAATAAAAACATGGTGAAAGAGGGCGACCTTGATGAAGACAATGAGAGGAAGAAAAATAATCTTTTATCTCTTCATTAATAATAACAAAGAAAAAAATATCTTTGATGCATGCTTTAATCCACTTTATAAATGTAGAAGGAAACTCATTATTTTCATATTATTTTCAATATATCATAAAGAAAACACATGTTAGCCTTCTCAAAAGTATTATTGTGATCAATCTTGTAACAAAATTTCTTATGAGAATTGCTAGAGTTAAAACCATATAACAGTTCATTAGCTAAATAATATAATCAACAATAGCATAACCTTTAATAAAAGTTATTTGAGCAGGGTAAATAACATTAGGAGAATGATTTTAAATCTATATAAAAAAAAGTTTTGACAATAACTTTATAAAAATTATTAGAGAGAAATATAAGCCTAAAATCATTAAGGTGGAGCCCCACTATTCTTAGGAATGAGAGTAATAGCTGAATACTTAACTCTATTAGGAAGCTTATCTATAATAAAGAAATATTTAAAAGCTTTAATACAATAAGGACCCACAATTTATCAAAGAATTTTAATTAAAAAGTAACTAAGCCAGGAGTTTTATTACCCCCAATGCTAAAAAAGGAATTTGTAATATCCTCATTAGAAAACTCATGCAAAAAGGCTTTACAATTAGAGCTATTAATAATATTGGCTATATGAAAGTAATTAACATATAAAACAGGGATATCATTATTGTTATTGAGCATATTATTTAAATTGGAGATAGCCTCATCTGCAATATCATTATGAAAGTGAATATAAGAATCTTTAACAAAAAGTTCTTCAATGAAATTGGTGTTTTTCCTAATTTTAGCTCTTTGATAAATATCTTATTGGCATCCTCTCCTTAGAGAGCCAAGAAAAATTAGCTCTTTGTTTAATCCACTTATATTCACAAGCTAAAGCATCTTGTAACTCCTTTTCATTGTGAGACAAAAGAGAAAGTAAATCTTTGCAGAGAGAATTTAAATTGAATCGATTCATTGAAATATTTTGCTTCATTTTTAAGTCATCAATAGACTTAGAAAAATAGTAAGAATTGTACCACTTTATTTTTTTCAAAGCCTTCTTAAAATTATTCAATCTATTGCAGAGAGAGAAAATAGGATTCCAATTAACCTTAATGTTCCGAGCAATGTAAACAATATCAAAATAATTAGGGCAATATTTCTATAAATCTTTATACATAAATTTGTATTTAGACTGATAATAATTACCCAAATGAATGAACATAGGGGGTGATCAAACGAATAAAGATTCATGATTTTAAAAGAAGTATGAAAAAAAGAATTCATTCAATTAGTCTTACGGAAGGCCCTGTCTAAAAGACATCTAATAGGACAATCTAATTAATCATTAAATCAAATAAAATCATTATTAGTGCTTTGTAACTCAAGTAAATTAGCAGAAAAATTAAATTTGTTAATACCATCAAGCTTACCAAGGATTGAAAAAGAGCCACCAATATTCTTATCAATATGACGAATACAATTAATTTCACATAGAAAAATTCATAAGTCATTAATATTACTTGCAAGAGAAGCTAAATCCTCCCAAAAATCCTACCTAATTTGAATATTATCATCAACATAAACAAATGTAACAAAAAAATTGATCGAGGAAGAATAATGACTATGCCCATGAATAAATTGAGCTTTAATAATAAGAGAAAGAAGAAGACAAAAATTGTAATTTTACTTAATCAAAATCCGACCATTATCAACACATTGAAAGTTATTATTTATAATATATTTCACATGTTTAAAAAAAAGGAAAATGTGAAATATATTCTAATTATTATTTTTACTGTAGTCATTATTAAGAATTAATTAAAGAAGAAAAAAAAAAGAATACTTGTCCACTTAGAGACTCAGATTCACATTATATTCTAACCATAATGCAGGCTGTTTGAAACATAATGCAGCCAAAAATTGCCCTAAATAATCCCTTAAATTTAGCTATGAGCCGCTAGTTTAGCACACATTTTCTCCTTACCTTATGATATAATATTATTATATTATTATCAACATTAAATTTATCATAGAGTTTTTTTTTTTCAAATATTAAAACTGAGGTTAATATTTAGAGATGAGGTGTCAAATATTAGAGAAAAAATAAAATAAAATCATATATTCAAGAAAAAAAAATTTATAATAAAATGATTGTATGTTATTTGTTAAGGCTTATGATGGTCTGACCTTATCGAAAAAATATTACATGCAGAGCTGTTTACGTAATTCAATCTCAAGCTGATACGTGGAAGACCGATGCTCGCCTACATTAAAAAAAGAAAATAATAATAAAAACACGCGACCCAGCTCAAACTGATACATTATAAGAATATTTCATCGTGTTATGCATTTTTCTCCGCTTTACAGAACCTTGCCAATGTGTTATAAGAAAATATTTTCTGCGTTATTTATCATTGACGCCGTGTTATAAGAATATTCTCTGATTTTATTCTGAATATTTTTCACGTTATCCATGTGTTATTGAGCTGATTTTGAGATTTTTTTGTTCTTGAAACACCAATATCAACTCCATAACACACAAATATCACATCAATATAAATTTTCATCTTGTCATTTGATTGTATCACCTCAATAACACATCAATAACGCATGAATAACACACCAATAACACATTAAAAATAGTGACTGGTGATTTTGAGATATTGTTCTTTAAACAACAATACTAACTCAAAATCACTTTCATAACACATTAATAACACATCAGAAAAAATTTTTATCTTGTGATTTGGTTAAATCACATTAATAACACACCAATAACACATAAATAATACGAAAAATATTCAAAAAAAACACAAAGATATATTCATATGCAATAAAATGTTACTATAACACATCACGTTTTTATTTTTTATGTTGGCGCCCCACTCAGCTCAAACAGTACTCATCTCTCCTCTTCGAGAACCCGAGTCCTTCCAGCTTTTGGAAGGTACCTATCTCAAACTGATCCACTTCCAAGCGATGCCAACCCTAAACTTAACTACCAACATACCAGTGGACGCCGTCGTGGCCTCCGATGTGCTCAAGGATGCCACCAAAATCCTCGCTAAGACCATAGGCAAGCCGGAAGCCGTAAGTCCGTCCAAAGCATCTCTACGAATTTTCTTCCACCCATTTCCATGTCTGATGCAAGGTGTTGGACGAAACAACTCGAAGAACCTTTTTTGCTGCTTTTTTTTAATAATTTTCATGCATTGTCAATTTAGGTTGTTTGGATTGGAGGAAACGTGATGAGATTGAAACTATCTATTGGTTGATTATGAATCTGCGGCAATTGGTTTGAGGTTTCAACTGTTTCTTTCATTTCTTTCAACTCAAATTCTGTGAATCCAAAGACTGTCTTGGTTAGGTATCTTTTGAATTGTCATATTTAGTGGGGTGTTGGTAATAGCCGACCTATTTCCTTGTCTAGTATCAGGTGCTCAAATAAATCACTCAAACGAACCTTTTGGCGTTTTCTTACCGTTTCTTTAGTAATTTTCCCGCAGTGTCGGTATTGGTTGTTTGAAATGAGGGATATGGACTGAAATTGAAACAATTTTGGTTGATTATAAATCTGGGGCTATTGCTTTGAGTTTTTCAACTATTTATTTCATTTCGTTTCATTTTACTCAAATTCTTTGAATCCACACAGTATTGGTTGGGCTTTTTTTTGAAATCTCTTCTTAAGTATTGGATGGTAATGGCTCCCGACGTCATCTCTTTCTTGACCCTTGGCTAACGGTGAGTATTTCGAGGGCATATTTGGATCAAGCACTGTTTCTTTCCTTGGGCTGCTGAGCAATACTAACATCTTTGCTGTACTTGTTTATTAATAACCATTATCATGATGAGATGGGAAATGGCCCATCTATTAAACCATTAGAATTGCTTGACTCAGATGTATAGGGACCCTCCCTACTTCCATCAATTAAAGGTTTCAAATAATATTTGAGTTTCATTTATGATTTTTCTAGTTTCGCTTGTGTATGTTCTGCCTTTAACAAATCTGAAGTTATAAAGCATTTTACTTGACTCAAAAACATGATTGAAACTCATTTTTAAACTCATATCATATTTCCTTGTATGACAGTGGAGAGGAATACAATAACCGTAGTTTTCAAAGATCAAACAAGTTGCCCCTACAATCTAGAATAAAATTGAGTCAGTACTTGGACAAAACACATCCTCAAAACCACTCACACTCTTATGCTTGAGGCAAATCTACCCTATGCTCTAGGGCCATACACTGTAAACTACAGTCTACCTTAATCATATGCTCTCTCCAACCACCAAAAGCAGGCCTTCCTATTATATCCTATTTGGTAGCATAGGGTTGTAAACGAGTTGAGCTTAAGCGAGCTCAGGCTTGGCCCGTGTTAGGCTCGTTCGAAATTGACTCGTGTTCGAAATTACTTGCGAACAGTGAGTTCATGTTCGACTCGAATTACATATTATTGCTTGTGTTTGTCTCGAAATTGCTCTTGAACAGAGTATTTGTGTTCGGCTTGAATTACATATTATTGTTTGTGTTTTACTCGAAATTGTCTCGTTTAAATTAATTAAAAAAAAACTCTATGGTATTGGATTCGAACCTGCACCACTTTTGTGTAGTATAAGACGTAGAACCACATGACCATACAAGCTATTACGATTTGAACTTCGATATAAAAAAATATATATAATATTATTATATAAAAAATATATATAATTTCTTAATTTTGATCTAAAACGAGCCAAAAATGATTGAACAAAAAGTTATTCATGTTCGGCTCATTTATAATTCGAGCTTAAAAAATTTGTTCGTGTTCGACTCGTTTACTTAACAACAATTCAAACACGAGCTACTTAACGAGCAGAACAAAAGATGTTCGCAAACAACAAGCTTTTTTGACAGCCCTAGTAGCATACCTTCTTATGATCATTTGAATATTTGGTTGTGCTTGCCATTTGTGGTTGTGTTCTTCCAACCTCCACAAGCTAGCTCCATGATCTATGCCAGGTGTCTCTTTGGGGTATAACACTACACACAATGGATTCAAATGTTTTGATGAGCTTATTGGCCAAATTTTCTTTTCTTGCAAATTGGTGTTCAATAAAAATACATTTACCAATGAAACTCAAACTGCACTCTCCATCTCTACCACATACCTATTTGCATCCCTCCAGTAATCCTTGCACCTCACAATAACTCATGAGCTTTCTCTAAACAATAGCCCAATGATCTCATCATCTCCACGACAAATAATCCTCATTCTCTTCCTAACTCTTCACTCTCAATCGCACCTTCTCCTCCAAGGCAACAGAGCATCATCTAAAGATCTCAACCAGTCTCACTCAAGCTCAAAATATTATTCTCTTTATCACTCTATACTTAATAATTCAAACCCCAAATGTTTTACTCTTGCCAACAAATGCATGCACTGAAGTCAGGCCATGTCTGCCAAATTTCACGCTCTACAAAGCCAAGAATCTTGGACTTTTGTATCTCCAATATGCAATCATATCATTCTTGGCTATCGTTGAACCTATGAAAATTTCATGCAGACAACTCTTTGTCTAAACATAAAAACACTCCATGTTGCACAAGGCTACAATCAAGAGCACAAAATAGACTATAGCTAAATAGTCACTCCGGTGGCAAAAATGCCAACCATATGTATCCTTTTTTGTTTTAGCCTCCACGATGATTATGATATTCTTCAATTTGATATGTACAATGACTTTTTTCATGAAAAACCCAATTATAATGTTTATATTTGCAAACCATTTGGCTTTCTTGACCAACAATTCTCCATTCATATTTGGTTACTTAAGAAAGCCATCCATGGGTTCAAAACACATCGCGTCAATATTTCAATACATTTTAAGTCATCTCCTTCAATTTGATTTTCAATTCAGCCATGTAGTTCGATCCCTCTACCATATAGGCATCAACGTTGTCATTTATTTTCTGATATATGTTGATCATATTCTTGTAACAAGAAGCAATATCTTGGGTATTCAAAAGACTACTCCACAATCAAAACACACCTTTAGCATGAAGAACTTCTGCCTAATTTCCTATTTCATGGGTATTCAGTTCATGCATCATATTCTCTTAACAAGAACCTTCTAACATAATTATAATATGCATAGGAAATTCAACATGCAGCAGGTCTCAAGAATTGCAACTTCATTTTCATACCTCTCCCATCCATATGTCTGACGTTCTTAATGCCTAGTTCATTTTTTTCTGATCCAACAACATATTGAAAAATCACTTGGTCACTTCAATATCTGACAATTAATGGACTAGACCACCCCTTTATTGTTAACTAACTTTGCCAGCATATGCATTAACCAGTCGAGCTCTACTATCAACACCTGCTGGGGATTCTTTGCTATGTTAAGGCACCATCAATTTTGGTTTTCCCATATAAAGAAGCACATTGACTCTTCATATATACTTTGATGCCAGCTAGGCCAATGGCTACTCAAATCACAAGTCAATTTCTGCCTTTTGCTAATATCTTGGAATCACTTATATCTCAGGTATACGGAGAAACAAGCAATCTATTAAGGCTAAGTTTTGATGTAAAGCATTGACAATAGTTGACATCTTTTGGCTTTGTTATATTTTCTTGGACTTTAAATTAAATTCCAGTTACCGGTCTGACACCACTTCATTGTGCTTCACTATGACAATCACTAATAGTTTTTTTTTTTTAAAATTTAATGAGCGCACCAAACATATTGAGATTGATTATCACTTCATTCATCAATACATTCAATCCAAGGAATCAAGGTTCTGAAAATTGGTACACATGATCAATCAATTGATATTCTAACCAAACCTTTATCCACCATGTTCTTCGTCAAACTCAGATACAAGCTAACCATTCGTTTTGACTGAGCTAGCTCGAGGGGAGGTAATAAACATTCTCATCATCGTAGTAAACATCAAAACCTGCAAACCAATCTTAGCCGGCCATGGATAACAGCATCTCAATCACAACAACCAAAGCCTAATTTAACTTTTGTTCTACCTTATTATTTCTATCCTCTACCATTATATAGCCTAAGAACCATATCACAAATATAGAGATTGAAATGAATAGCTTATTCATCACACTCTTCTTCGTGTTTTAGTTCTGTAATTTGCAATTCAATCTTAGCTCGTTTCAATTTCATCAATAACAATGCTCAGCAGTTTGAATTCTCTGGGATGACTCTCGGCTGTTTTCATTTAGGGATGCCATTTAATCTCTAGATCTTATTGTCATTGAAGTTACTCGGTTCAATATTACTTGGTTCAAAATGGCTAAGATACGATATTGTTACTTTGCCTCATTGCAATATTTGGGACTTTAATGATCGTGAATGCTTTTTATTATGGATGGATTTGTCTCTGCCATTTGCCTCTTTTTTATGGCAGCATTCAAAAGTTGCAATTTCTTGAAGTGAGTTATTTATAATTGCCTCACATGTTGTATTTTTTATTTGCTAATCTACAGCCCTTTTTCTTTTTTTCACTTCATCTCATTTCCTCATGCTGGATCCATGTTGTTTGTGGGCTCACACCTTGACCTTACCACATATTAGGGTCGAGAAATGTAAGAGATATTGAATGTTTAAGAATTTTCATTGAGTTAATTGGAAATATAAGTGGCCTGTTTGCCCCCTTAGAGATAGAAAGGGTGAGTTAAATCAAGGTAGAATTATAGCGGGAGAAGTTTAGGGAAAATCCTAGAGAGAGAGTTTCTATTTTTTGGATTTAGAAGCACACTGAACATCTTCCAATTACATGATTTTTTATATGGGCCCTTTACATAAGTACCACCCAATTCCTATGCATCAACATATCATCCACCCAAACTTTAATTTTTACGTACAAACTACCCAATTCCTATGTTTTTGGTATAGGTTGGCTGGTCTGTAGGTGAAAATTTAAATTTAGATGGTTGATATGTTAATACATAGGAATTGGGTGGTAGTTATGTAAATCTCCCTTTTTCTATTTCATGTTCTCAGCAAAATGTGCAAAAGATTTGGGAATAAATTGGTTATTATAGTTGGTTTCTTTAAATCTATGACAATGTTGTTCAAAGTATCTATGTTATCAACTATGCCATTCCCTTCAGGCATCTTAAGCTCAAACAAATTGCTTTGTTTTGAATCATATTTTACAAGTTCTCAGCATGTTAAAACTCTTGAAGCGTTCATTTTCTTTTGTTAACGTTAAAAAACACTAAACATCTTCGCTCATATTTCTTTGCAAAATACTATAAATTAGCTCCATCATTTTTGCCTTATCATCTGCATCCAAGTAACAATGCAAGTTTCTTTCTTCCTCTAAGGTATTTGCCTTTTTTTATCTGAGCAATAATAGCCTTCATCTATTTCCATCGATTCATGGAATTTGATTTCCATCCAACATCTCAAATTTGACCTTGCAAACTCCCATTCAAGATGACTTCCCTTAGCTTTGATGTTAATTTGTAAGGATCTTATTTATAATATGAACGAGAAGTCCCTTTTACAGTGTGGAAATAAATCATTTAATGCAAATAGGAAATGATGTTCTTGGCAACAAATATTTGTACCCAAAATATAACTAAAGTACATAATTTGCGATCACAATAAACCAAAGCTTAAACATAACTTGCAAACTTGTTTTACTAAGTTTTAACTACAGAAAAGATGAGAACAAATTTGATTTACACAATTTCCTTTTTGCAAAATTATCGAATAAATTGTTGTTAAAAAGAAATTTTGCAACTCAAATATGGTCTCATCTTTTCTTTAGTTAAAAGTTTTGGCTTTTTATGTGATTGAAAAATTTATTATTTCAGAAAATCATTTGCTATACGTGTTAATTATTTTGTTTTTTGTACTGTATGAGATGGCTTATTATTTGTATCGTGAATAAGATCTTGTCAATCTATATATATATATATATAAAATAAAAAACTCAAGGGCATGTATATTGAAGAGAAAAGAGTACAAATAGGTTGTATGAGTAGGCCCAAAAGTAGACACCCAACCTATACGGTACAACACAAAAAAGAGAGGGTACATATAAGATCAATCGAGACGACCCAATTTAGTTCTGTCTCTGCTTCTAATTCTCGGAAGGGAACTAGCTAACAAATTAGTGAGGTGTGTACCATTGCTCAAAGTAACCAAAGTATCATCCATTAGATTCCTGAGCTCAAATATATCTCCATTCTTCTTCTTCCTCCTAGAAGTGTAAACATGTCATTCATCATCCAAAGATTGTTGCTTATTCGGATGAGGTGGTAGAGCTGTAGTCTAAAGATTGCCAACCGCTGTACCCACAATAGGTTCTACTGTATGTGAAGTATGAGTTGTCGCCTCTACACCGTCGCCTCTACACCGGATTTGTCGCCTCTACACCGGATACTTTCTGAAGATGGGGAGCTGCAAGGTTCTCCTGATTATCAGTCCGAACACCATCCTTTGTAGGTAATGAACCCTGTTTTCAATGGGCAATGGGGTTTGAAGATGTATGTTGTCCAACAAAGCCATCCAACATCACTTCAATCGCAGAAATAGTATTGTCAGGGGGGGTCCACAGGGGCAATTATATCAGACACCAAAACCTATCATGTGGTAGCTTTCTCTCAAGGTGGAGCAGATATGTCCAAAGCAGCGCGTACCGTGGTCTGTTGGTAGAGCAGCCTCTTTGAAGGTCATAAGTCCCCTCAGGTCACGGGTTTGAATCCCCCGGTGTGTAGGGTGTGGTACTCGAATATTTAGCACACATAGGAATGGCCGGAGCTTGTCTAATAGCCTTTGACCATTTTTTTAAAAAATTAATATATATATA